TGTGTGTTAGTGTTAGTGTGTGTGAGCCGGTGTGTGTCGGTGTGTGTTGGTGTGTGTGTGTCGGTATTTGTTAGTGTGTGTTGGTGTGTGTGAACCAGTGTGTGTGTTGGTGTGTGTTAGTGTTAGTGTGTGTTTGTTTGTGTGAACCATCTTGTGTTGGTGTGTGTTGGTGTGTGTATATGTTGGTGTGAGCCGATGTGTGTTGGTGTGTGTGAGCCGGTGTGTGTTAGTTTGTGTTGGTGTGTGTGTTAGTTTGTGTTGGTGTGTGTGTGTTGGTGTGTGTTGATGTGTGTTGATGTGTTTTTTGGTGTGTGTGTGTTGGTGTGTGTCAGATAGCAGTTTGGATCTCAGATGGATGCAACCACTGAGCTTCCTCAGAGGGGTGCCAGACTTTTGAAGTTGAAACCATATCCGAGTCTTTGAAGAAAAAACACCAGCGTGATAAAAAAAAGAAAAAAAAGAACAAAAAAAAAGAGAAAAGCTATTGTCGCTAGCTCCTCTCAGCATGTGCTGAGGCTTGCCTCTCCTTAGATGAAATGCAACTGTCTCCCGAACACACCTCTGTGTTTGTTTAGAGATGGGGAGATTTGGGATAAATCCCTCAGCAGCTCAGGGTTTGTCTGGTGGCTTTTAGTCTTTTTTTTCTTTTTTTCCTCTCACATCAGCTTTGAGGTTCAGGTTTGACAGCAGATGAACAGCTCTGATCACCTTAAGAGATCATTCAAAACGAGTCCTGTTTGAAATTTGTCTCAATTCTGAGATGAGCCAATTTCCTAATATTTCCTCGCCTGTTTTATTTTCAAAACTTAGATGAAGATGTACAGTGGGGGAAATAAGTATTTGAGCCTTTGCTGATTTTGCAGGTTTGCCCACTTACAAAGAATGCAACGATCTATAACTTTAATCATATGTACATTCTAACAGTGAAAGACAGAATCCCAAAGAAAATTCCAGAAAATCACATCATATGAATTTAAAGTTTAAAGTTTATTTATTTATTTAATCAGGACAGTGCACATTAATGAACAATCTCATACAGATTGTAAATGAGCCAGATTATAGCATAGTTGCTAGTTTACATCTGTCGTCCTGAGGCAGGAAGACCAAACAACACAAAATCACAAAATACAAAATCAGTCCAAACACACGTTCGGACAATGACATTCCAAAATTAAAATGAATTCAATTCAATTCAATTAAATTTCATTTATATAGCGCCACATCACAACAACATTTGTCTCACAGCTTTCCAAACAGAGCAGGTCAGACCCTACTCTGAAGTTAATTACAGAAACCCAACTATTCCCACCATGAGCAAGCACTGGGCGACACATGCAAGGAAAAACTTCCTTTTAACAGGCGGATTTATAAATTTATAAAAATTGATAACCATCTGATGAGGGAAAAATAAGCATTCTTTGTAAGTGGGCAAACCTGCAAAATCAGCAAGGGGTCAATTACTTATTTCCCCCACTGTATATGTGACAATGTGACCTGTGAGAGTTTTTAAAAACAGGTTATTATATCCTCACATTTTCTCCTCAAATCTTCTCATATTTAGAGTTTGGGAGCTGGTTGGAGTTCAGGTTATCTTAGATCTCCGGCCATAATTCCCTTTGTTGTCATGTTGTGTAAATTTTAGTCTAAAAAAAAAAATTGTTATTTGGCCAGGATTAACATCTTAGAGCCAACAAAGCCAGCTGTGTAAAATAATTTTTCCAATAAACCTCCATTAGGCTTGTTAAAAAAAAAAAAAAAAAAATCCATTTATGATTTGCCTGGAATCAGTTATTTTCCCACAGATTTAAGTCGGTGTGGTGTCTGTATTTGAGTGGATTATGGGGAAACTAAATGGCTGTATCAGGCCAAAGGGGGGGGG